CATGGCCACTGTGATGTCCCTCATTAGTGAAGTCCTGTTCTGAGTGTTTTCCCGCCTTTTTTGGCTCTTAATGGGACCTATAATTAACAACACGGTTTTTAATATGACCTAAAACCAAGATCATAAGTTCATCATGAGGATCTTGAGAGACACTGCGTCATTTTCGCACAGACTGTTTAATCAGAGCAGTCGCCCCCTGCTGGTCATTAGAAAAAACAGGTTTAAGCGGCTTCACTTTTCAATAATGTCTTTTTTATAAAGAGCATCGTTGACACCAACAGGGATGGATGAAGCATACATGCCAATAGTTTTTTACATTTATTGCAACTCTTGATTTTTAGTTATTTATTTTTAGGAGCTTTTCTGATCATTTGATTTTGATTCTTATTCATAAGCTTGTGTTTGTTATTTTTGTGAAGTCAGAATAAAAATATTTAGCTATAATAACTGAATTAAAGCATAAGTTTGAATGAACAAGTCAGCGGATATTTTACTTGAGCGTAATTTTCCTCTCTGAACGATTCATTACACAGAATTAAAAGTCATTCACTTACAGCAGAGGTCGTGAAACAGCTTTTTGAAAATGTGCTTTTGGGTATTCTCTGTTTAAACTCATTTATAAAACAGTATAATCATCAGGCAGTTAGGGCTGTTGGATATAACGATATATATCAGACGACGATATAAAAACGTCTGTCGTTTCATTTTACGCTATCGTTTGTTTCGTGGTGTCGCAAAATAAACTGTTTACGGAAATATTTTTCATTATTTTGATGGTCACTGTAGGGGCTATATTAATTTCTTAAAGTTCTCTCTTTCTCTTATATTTTATATAACCACACTACGGACGGACAAGCGCCTGTTTTTATGCATTTTGGTTAGCAACAACGATGGTAACACCATCGCGTGTCCGCTTGTTTATGTTCCACATAAACCTTTCACAATAAAGCTCAAGATCCTGTTGAGACTTTTCAAAATAAACTGAATCACGTGAAAGAGCAGATTATTTACGGATGAGAAGTAAAAAAGAGCCGCCAGGTGCTAAAAACTAAACCTTAGACTCAAACGTTAGAACAGCCTTTTCCCCGCAGCACGCCGTGTAATAAATACTCACAAAGAAAACGGCGGCCGTTACAGCTTATGTCTAAAAATGTATCGCTTCATGCGTCGGTTAAAACACTCGACTCCAGCTACATGACGTGGAAACGCTGGAAACACTTCCCGCAAGTCGAGCTGCCCGAGATTCACAGAATTTACAGAAAATGTTACATTTTTGTGATTTAAATCATTATCGGGATGATAACGATTAAGAGCTCTAAATATGCTGAGTTAGAGTACACTCGCCCACATCTGCTAACACATTTTTCTACAAGTTTTCCAATTTCTTTTGAAAAAACAACAACAAACAAAAAACAAACAAAACACAAAACATTTTTTAAACTACATTTACAAAACTGAGTGTTTGCTCAAAGTCACAAAATGTTTCATACCAGACACATAAACAAAGCCAGCCAAAATATTACCAGTGCCGAGCATTTATTACACGCTGCGGCATGAAAATGAAAAACACAGACTTCAGGACATGACGCCCGAGTCGTTCCAACCTCCTCGGGCTGTTTTGTTCCATAAAAGTCACAATGTGAAGCAGAAACTCCAGAAACAAACCACAGGCCAGGTAAAACATCTGAAACCTGAAGTTATGAACCTTAAACCTGCACTCTTTATAATGACCAGCAGGGGGCGACCTGCTTCTCCTGCGATCTCCGACCCAACAACACTTTGTCCAAATTATTAAATCAATAAATAAATTTACCAAAAATGATAAATAAATGATTTTTAATAAATTATGATGCAATTAAAGAAAAAAGGACGATAAAACAGAGGATGCTCATAGGCTAACGACTTGATTTCACCAAAATGATTATAGCAACTAACCCACGAGTGATGTCACAGTGGCTACTGTCATCTTTTATATACAGTCTATCATATCAACTATCTCTTGGCCTCTCAGGATGAACATTTTTTATTTGTTTTTAGTTTGAATCTGCAGTTGTGTTTAACAAAAGAGGTTAAATGAGATCTGAGACTGGTTTTAAAAGTGGGTGAATATATTAAGTTAGTGAGGACAGCAGTGTTATAGCATCTAAACTTAAATCCATGTGCACAGTCCTTTTTAAATAACCAAAAATGAACGTGTGTTCCTACAAGTCTGATGAGATATGATGTAAACACTTCTTATATCAAAGAGTAAGGTAGGACAAAGCAGAATCTCTGGTTCCACTTCATCACTTTGTGAACATAAATGAAGCAGCACATTCCTGTTTTCACTTCATATTTTTGTCATTTCATAGAATAAAAACGGGCGGATGAGCTTGGAAAGACTTTGGCTTCATGTCCTGGACCCTGCCTGTTGTAAATGTCATGCTGCAGTGTGAAATAAAGACTCGGTGTTGATGCTTTTCTGAGAATATCATGCGGTTTGGAGCAAAGATAAAACTGTGTTTGTGCGTTTGCTTGTTTCTGAAGAGTCAGAAGTTTTAAAAATGCTGTCTGAAAAGAAATGTGTCTGAGAAAGTGTAAATATTAAAGACAAAAACATCAAATCTGAGGCTTAAATCGCGGTAAATATTTCAGTCTGGTTTAATTTCATTCCGCTGACAGTAAAATAGTCCTTTCAGGTTCGTGAACTCACCTCCGCGCTTTGAACTTGAATCTCTCTGTTCGTCCACCTAATGTTTGTGCCAAAGGTCAAACAGCTGGGAACTTTTCGGCTCAGTATTCCTGTGAAGGAGCTCCTCTCCGCTCTTCTTCCATGCAGTCTTCTGATTTTTTCTTGCAGATGTTTGAGCGCTCTCTCGCTCTCTCCTGCACCTACTGCGCTTTGTTCGCGCACTGAGCTGTTCACGGAGGAGCGCTCCTCCCCAATTTAAACCAGCCAGGCCACGCCTCCTCTGCGTCACGAAATGGGCGTGGTTCCTGCCTGTGGTCAGGAAGATGGATGACTGCTGATCTAAAATCTAAATATGCCATAATTATCTCCTGACTGTGACTGCAAACAGTCGTTTATTCACATGACGCTTTGCTTCAAGAGAGAAATTATTCTTCTTACAACAACAGGGATTTATTACTAAATAAAAACAGAATCAATAAATAACCCAAATCAGTTTAACTTAAAGAGTTAGGCTTTCTGCTCCAGATTTATTTATAATATTTATTTAAATCAAATTTTATTTATGTATTTATGTAGTTTAATGGGCGTGTTTCTAATTTATTGTTCGAATGTGAAGAGCCAATCCTGAAATAAAAGGAGTCCAAGAGGACCAAGAAACAAAGAAGGAAGGAAAGTATAAGAAGGAATGGAGAAGGATGCAAAGGGGAAGAAAGGAAGGCATTTAGGAAGAAGGGATAAAAGGATGTTAAAAATTAAGGAAATTACAGTTCAAATGGAAAGGACCAGGGGAGGAAAAAATTAAAGAGCAACAGGTAATGAATGAATGAAGGAAGGAAATTAGGAACATGGAAAATAAGGAAGAAAGAGAAAAGAAGGAAGGAAGAAAGGGTGACAGACGGACTCAAAAAGTAAGGAATATGGAAGGAAGGAAGGAAGGAAGGAAGGAAGGAAGGAAGGAAGGAAGGAAGGAAGAAAGTTGGGAACAAGGTAAGAAAGGAAAGTTTGAAGGGGGAATGAGAAAAAGGAGAAAAAGTAGAAAAGTATGAAGGATGGTATAGGAGCAAGACAAATAAGGATTTAAGGATGAAAGTGAAAAGAAGGAAGGTAGGAAGGAAAAGAAGAAGTGAAATAAATTAGTAAGGAAGTAAACTGCATGTCTATTATATTTAAAATTATTATTATTATTTTAAGTTCGTTTCACCTGTCTTTTATATACAGTCTATGGATGAGGGTAATTATGAACCTTTGGAATTAATTTCTGACTTTAAGTTTATTAAAAGTCTCCCCTCCTTCACTGAAGATTCATTAGTATATGCACAATAAGACCATGACAAGCCTCACATGTAACACCTCCTCTGGTAATAAGCCCACACATGATCCTGTTCTAAGGACGCTGGTGTTGTTGGAGGGGGGGATCTGTAGTGTGTGTGAAGCTTTTTAAACTAAAGGGGGGCTCCGGGGAGAGCAGCTCTAACCACAGTGTCAGTTCCCTGTCAACACCTTTAATTATGTGGTTATTTATAGCTGCGCGGGCGCCTCTTGTGGGTTCAGAGTCATACATCACACCTGCAGAGGGCTGTGATAAACACTGCTCGGGTTCAGGTCTGCAGGTTATCTGGTTATGTTAATATTTTTATTAAACCGACCAGGTGTGTTTAGTCAGTGGAGTTATAAAGCATGCAGAGAGGGTGAGGCTTAAAACCACAATCAAAAACATCATGCTTTAAGAGCACACCTCTGAGATTATAATTACTGCCACATGCAAACAGCCGGGCTTCGTTCGGTGTGGCATAAACGTGCCTAGCGCGACCCCTGCTGGACAAAGTGCTCACGTGCGGGGTAAGTGCAAAGAAGCTGCACTACCTTAAAGGAGCGTGTTTTCTAAATTATCGGGCTAAAAAACAGAGGTAACAAATATTCAGACGCAGCATTTTCAGCCTTCGGGCTGTTTAAAAACGTTTTTAGATCTGAATGCCCTTTTGCCAAATTTAGCCTGAATCTTCGGCGCAGACTATTTTTTTGTGGGAGCTTTAAATAGGAAAGGACCTGGGCTTGTTTAAGTTAGTAAAGATATTTCACATCTCCTCCAAGAGGAGTCTTCATTTTTAAGACAAAAGGTGGAGGTTCCCAGGTATGCAATTCATAGGACTCATAAGACCGCCCTAAACTGGATGACTGAAAATCTACATAATCAAACACCTTTTTCAGTTATTATAATTAAGTAAGTAAGATGGGAGCAAAGCAAAAACAAGAAGTCTACACCACTCTTTGAAATATCAGCGGCAGTGCGACCTGATATGACTTATGTGCACATGCGCAGTGTGAACTATAGGGGGCGACAGGCTCCTGCTATCACGCTGGAGCCGGTAACGGGGCGGAGAAGAAGAAAAATGCAGTTAACTGTTTGTTTTGATTGCATTAATCAGCTCGTGTAGGTTAGCAGCAGTCAGCCTCATTCGATCTGAGTGGAAATATTACCGTATGGCTTTCTTTTTATGAGCTACGAGGGTAAAGTGGGGAGGAGTTCAGATTTAAATAGTTAAAATCGACTAACTGGACCAGCTACTTCACATGTTAGCGAACATCGGAGCTTCCTTTAAACATTTTTATCCTGAGAACAGCGAAGAATAGGAGAGACTGTAATAATCACACGGTGAGTTTGAAACCTGACATTACTCTGACTCCACTTCCTGCTGTTGACACACTCCAACAGGCTACAGTTTAATGTTATCTTTTAGCATGTTAGCTTATCCGTCAGCACAGTTTAGTGTAGCTGAACGTGTCGGCTGTCAAAAGGTGAGCACAGGTGGGTTAAAGGTGGTTGTCATCAGGTTTAAAGTCTACTGAGGTTTATTATCTTTTTCTAATTCTACTGATTAACGTCATGTCAGTTTACGGTAATCCTCCGTTCCCCTCCCCAAAGCCACACCCACAAGGGCCTTCAGCTGTGGGAAAATCCATACACCAAGCTCCCCGTGACTGCGATCATACAGATCACATATGTCATTGTGAAACATCTAGGAATGAACTGAGCAACCAAGTCTTTAAAGTCTATTCATAAACAAATAAGTCAATAAATAAACCAAATAATGCCATTATATACAATGTAAATCAGTGTAGCTGTTTATGAATTTAAAAAGTAAAACATAATTTTGTAATTTTCGTTTGAATTTGTATTCATTTGCTTCAATGTGTAAGTGTAAGCCCAAGGGGCCGTGCTGTTTACTGCAGCTGCATTCGCATTCACATTGAACTGTCTGAATGTGAAAACACTGAGGCATTTTACTTTTCATAGACATCTATATATATATGGTGGTCTCAGAATCTCATCTCTGCCTTTTGCGGATGATGTGGTTCTGTTGGCTTCATCGGGCGGGGGCCTCCAGCTCGCACTGGAACGGTTCGCAGCCGAGTGTGAAGCAGCGGGAATGAAGATCAGCACCTCCAAATCTGAGGGATGAGTTCCTGCCCCAAGTGGAGGAGTTCAAGTATCTCGGGGTCTTGTTCGCGAGTGATGGGAGAAGGGAGCCGGAGATCGACAGACGGATTGGGGCTGCGGCTGCAGTGATGCGGCTTCTGCACTCCGCTGCACTGGTCCGTCATGGTGAAGAGGGAGCTGAGTGTAAAACCGAAGCTCTCAATTTACCGGTCGATCCCTACCCTCACCTATGGCCATGAGCTGTGGGTAGTGACCGAAAGAACGAGATCGCGGATACAAGCGGCGGAAATGAGCTTCCTCTGAAGGGTGGCTGGCCTCTCCCTTAGAGATAGGGTGAGAAGTTCGGCCATCCGGGAGGGGCCCAGAGTAGAGCCGCTGCTGCTCCACATCGAAAGGAGCCAGCTGAGGTGGAGAGGGAGGTCTGGGCTTCTCTGCTTAGGCTGCTGCCCCCGCGACCCGGCCTCGGATAAAGCGGATGAAGATCGATGGATGGATGAATGGGTGATTTAAGTGTTCTAATTTCTCTGAGCATTGTAATAGACATATTAATAATGTTACTTGTGTGAATACATTGGAAATCTGCGATTGTTCACCTCTGAACACTGGTGGGATGAGGAGGAGTGTAATCCATAGTTACAGAAACACCTTTAACACCTACACAGAGCTTTGTGAAGGCTTTAGGGGTAAAACAGCTTGTCTCAGACAGAGAGTGAGCTGAAAGGCTTCATATACCTCCTAAACTAAACCATAAATAGTTTAGTCCCGGGATAAAAATGTAGTGCTGTAAATGAGCGGAATTGTTCCCTTTAAATCATTCAGTAATCACACTACAGCTTATTGTGTTTCTGTGATACAAGTTAAATTCTTATTTATCTGATTAGTCTTTCATGTCTCTGCTTCTCCTAGAGTGCAGGTGGTGTGGTCAGGGTTTTCCAACCTGTCCGTCAGACCTCCGTGTGACTCTTGTTTGAGTGGAGGGGGAGGGAACAGGAAGGGAAAACACCCGGGGTCAGGATGCCTCTATTCTTCAGGAAGAGGAAGCCCAACGAGGACTGCCAGAAGAGACTCGAGTATCAGCTGTGCCGGGTAAGAAGAAGCTGCTGCTGGTGCTAGTGTTAACGTATCTATCACAAATCCACCCGCTTACTCTTAGTTATTCTCCTCAGTCTAAGGAAGCTGGTGCTGATGACATCCTGGACATCTCAGCCTGTGGGCTGTCAGAGGTGAGAGGAAAGCTGCACTGATCCCTGACAGCCATCGTGTTGTGGTTTACACATTAACCTGATGAGTAACAGTAGTCTTTATTTCTCTTTTTCTGTTATGTTAGCAAACTACTAATACTTCTAAACTACTAGTATTTTTGCTCTCTGTATAGCTATATGAACACCTGTTTACTTAACCTATTTGTGGATAATCTGTTCATCAATATTCCCACATTTTTTATATAATCTGCTCTTATTGCACTTACTGCTCTTGCACTTCTGATTAGAAGCCAATTGTATTTCGTTACCCTGCATATATATTTTATATAATTATACATGTGTTATGACAAAAAAGTCCTAATCTATCCTAAACAAAGGAAAAACTCTGCAAACAGAAGAGAAATGGAAGAGAGCAGGGAGTCATTAGTGGGAGCACTAATGAGTCACAATGTGAATCGATTAGTTAGCAGTTTTCGACTTCTATTAAAAAAAAAGAAAAAGCCAAGTTGGAGCTAAACTGTGTTTTTATTATTGCTATTTTTGCTGAGAGATTACTTCCAGCTGTGCCACCATCAACAGAACAGCATTTTTCTTTCATTCTTTTCTTTGAGTCTTTTATCCCATTTTTTTCCTGAGATTGGCTAAGATGTGATTAAATTGTGCTGGCTACAGCTAATGTTTTTGTGTGTTACATCACAGGCCCCCTCGAGTGCCTTTTCCATCAGCAAAGTGCTTCATAAGAAGGTGAGACAGAGTTGCAGAGCTTTTAAGTGGTTTGATATTTATTTACTCAGTGAAGAGTTTCTGCAAAAAATCTCACACACAATATTCCTCAGACTCCAGAACTTAGAGCTTCAACTAGTGCTTTAGCTCCTCCTCTTTTTAGCTATCTCTCTTCTGAGTGGCCTACCCTCACAGACTAACAGCAGATAGAGCAATGAAAATGTTACCTCTGTTTCTTTCATTTAGGTACTTATCCTCCACAACAACGAGCTGCGGCATCTGGTGCCCAAAGGCATTGACATCAGCACCCTCATTACATTAAAGGTAAGCCCTGGGACCCTGTGACATCATCATATCCTCTTCATAGGTGATGGTGTTTCTCTCGTTTTTTGTTTTTAAACGTACTGCATTTTGAATGTGTACCTCAGCTTGAGGCTCATAGCTCATCATCGTTTTTAACTCTGTGTTACCTTAGAGTTTGTTAGAGTTAGCATGCAGATGTTAGTGCTGGATTTATTTTCTGAGAAAACCCTCCTGTGACCCTCCGAAGGTTTTAGACCTGCATGAGAACAAACTCACCTCTCTGCCAGAGGACATCGGGAAACTGACGGCGCTGCAGGTAAAGCCTGCTCTCCAGTTATACGGGAAGTAAGTGTGAATAAATGTCGTCAGCATCCACCTGCGGTCTTTCTTCTTGTGTCAGATCCTGAATGTGGAGAAGAACCGTTTGAAGGCCCTGCCAGATTCCATCGGGAACCTGTGCCTCCTGCAGACTCTTAATTTAAAGGGTACGATGCTTCCTGCTTGCTTGCTCTGAAGCGAGATGAGTCACAAGAAGCTAGTTGTGTATTTTCTTTTTCTCTAACAGGAAACTGCCTCACTGAGCTGCCGTCCTCTGTTGGTTCTCTGAGCAGCCTGCGGACACTCGATGTGAGTGACAACAACATTGTGACGCTTCCCAAAGCGCTGGCCTACATCCGCACCTTAGAGGTGAGGTGTCCACTGATTCAGACCTACAGGAAGGCTGAAAACAAACTGGTGTTTTATAAGTGTGTGTGTGTTTCTGTGACAGAGTTTTAGCCTTGATGCTGCCATGATGTCCTTCCCACCTTCGTCTGTGTGCACAGAGGGAACAGAGAGCATCCAACGCTTCCTGTGCACGGGTAGGATTTGCCGCTCGTGGTCACTCATTTATTTGTTGATTAACGGCAGAAAAACGTAAACCTACAGGGTTCCTGTCTGAGATCACAGTCAAGAAAATTAATCTTAAAATGTCTTATTTCCTCAAACTGTAGGTGAGAATTCTGTTGATTGCTGCCTTTCCTACTGGCTCACTGAGATTTAGTAGCTCCTTAGATTTACCACATAGGGCGCAGATGCTGATGCTTCTTTGCTGTGTTGCAAATAATGAGCCTGTGGCGATGACGCAGACTAAATTGTAATCGATTGATGGTTTCTTGTAACAACAGTGAAGTTTTTATCAGAAGTTTAATCTTTTCTAAACATGCTTCAAGTGAGTATTTATCTATTTGCATCAGTGATACAATAATAATAAAAAAGGCACAGTCTGTTCAGAATTCATAGAAAATAAATAATGATAAATAAATAAATCTGTTTTTACACATTAATCTTGAAATTTTAAATTTGAGGAAACAAGAAATGAAAATGTTGGTCTTTCTGTGTTTTCCCGTGCCGCGTCACAGATGAGGTAAGCAGATGATGATGCTGATTTGTTGTTCGGTTCAAAATGCAGAAGTGCACAGAAAAAAAGGAAAGATAGCAGGGAGTTTGTTTCTAATTTCCAGTATAAAGAAAAAAACTGGTTTAAAAAAAAGGATTTAAAAAAGGGTTAAAAATACAACATTTTTTTCCACACGATTATGTGTTAGTTCTTATTTACTACGTCTTAAAAAAGGTCTTAAAAGGAAAAACTTTGATATTTTTAAATAGTGCAGGAACTGTGCAGCCTTTGGTGTAACAGCACGTTCATGTAAACGTGATATGAGCCGAGTGTGGCTAATGTTAGCAGCTCTGGCAGCAGTAGACTTCTTCCTTCGCTAGTTAGCGTCAGCACGTCTGTGTGAATGTGGTTTACACCTCGATCATATCGGTTGGCTTTGGGTGCCCGGTCTGCATGTTTTTAACTTCCTGTCACAGAAAAAGAGACAAAGCTATGACTTTGTCTTTGAACTGATGGTGTTGTACATGAATGGAACGTGAATAATTAGTTTAAAGATTTCAGATGCTTACAATATATTGCATATAAAAGAAATGTTGTAGAAAAACATCAGATGAGTTTAAGGTCCAGGATGCTGGTTTAGCTCAGTGCGTTGAGCGGGCGATCACATGCCATACGAGAGATATGGCTGAGAGTGGCCGGCCCAGGTTCGAAACCAACCCGTGGCTCTTAGCCACATGTCATCCCCTCTCTTTCTCCTTCCGCTTTCCTGTCAATAAAGCTGAAAAAGGGAAAAAAAGGGAAAAAAAAAAAGCTTCAGGTCTTCCACAACACAGTTACTCTAAACAAACGGCAATAAATTCTACAAAGAGTTCAGTAAAATTCACAGATTTGACACGAACACAGACACTGAATCTGAAATCAGAACATGCATGTGTATTTTTACTGTTTCACTTCTCCCTCTCTCGTATGTGTGCGGTTACTTCTGCTGAGGCAGCGACTTTCATCTTGGCATTACCTCATGTTGTTTTAATCAGGCCGTGAGAATTCCTGGTCCAGCCTGCAGCTCCACCACTTTAACAGCATTGTACACTTTGCTGACCGTAGCATCAGGAGGCTCATGAACTCAAAAGACCTGCATATGCCCTCCTGGTTAATGAACAGCAGTTATTAAGGTGGAACCCATCTATAGAGACCAAAACTGTTGTTTTGGCACAAGTTAGAAGTTTTAATATCTAGGCTTCTCTGTGTCACATCACGGTGTAAACTAAAAATGTGCTGTATGATTGTTGTGGTTTGGGCAGCATGAAGATGAATTGACTGGTTGGTTGGTTTGCTTTCCAGAGCTGGGAGAGGAGTACTGCCCACCCTCTCAGTACCTCCTGCCGGTGCTGGAGAGCGACGGCAGCAGGCAGAGCTCCGACTGCCTGGATGGGTTGGATGAGGCCTGGCAGGTACAGCTTTCTCTTGTGGAGTGTGTAGAGGACACGAACACCAGCTTCTTTGATACGTTTATGGATTTCTGTGTGAGATACTACAAGTGTCTTTCAGTGTTTCCTCTTTTTCTGTTGCAGAACAAATTTAGTGACTACGAGAAGAGAAAGGTTGGTGACAAGACATTCCTCATTTTTCTTCAACATCTTTTAATATCTTAGTTTTATCTAGTACCTTTTCTACTTCTTTCAGGCATACAAGTTTTCTTTAATATTTCCTGTGTCGTTTTTCTGCAACACCAGGGTGAAGAACAAAGTTATAGCACATCTTTCAACACAACTACTAGCTTTTACCGAACTTTTGAGTACATTACACAAAGAGAACAAAAGCCCTTCTCCTAGCAGAGAGCAGTTTTGATGTAATTTTTTTCGGTCAGTTTCAAACACGAGGTGCCATAAAGGACAGTACACGTATCTGATTTCCTGCTGTCTTCTGAAAATAACTTTTTTGACCACCAACTTCTCAACTGAAGCGTTACTGTGGTGCACCACAAGGTTCGATTTTAGGTCCCAGTTTAATTTCCATTTCTAGACTCTGATAAGTTTTGTAGTTCCTTTGCTGCTTTTTTGTGTTTTAATTGTTTCAGTGAAATTAAATATTCTTATTTTATTTGTTCTTATTACAATTTCTTGTTCTGTCCCCACAGAATTTTTTTTTTTAGCTTATTATTGTGGAAACTGGCTGCAGACTGTAGCAGTAGTTATTATTTAGAGGGCTGAGAATCTGCAGATAAGGCTTTCTGTTCAGAGGTGTTGCATTATTTTTACATGAGCTGAATAAAGTGAAACCTGTGTTTGAGCAGCTGAAGTTTGAAAGTTTTCTGACTGGTTTGCATGTCCTGCAGGAGCAGAAGCAGCAGGAGAAGTTGGCCTTCGAGAAGCACCTGGAGGAGAAGCAAAGGGAGCATACCCAGCTTGTAATGATGAAAAACTCCAACAAGGAGAACATCCTCAACTCAGTCCGACAGGTAATAACAACCGCCCAGAAGTCTTCTTGAGAGGTTTAATTGTCAGCTCCTTCTTTCTGTTAACACCGAATCATCCCTGATGATGATGATTCTGTGTGTAATTCCTAAAATTGCCTGTTTTATATGCTGTGTGTGCCTTTTAGGAGCAGGAGAGGGTGGAGCAGGGCGTCAGCAAGCAGCAGAGAGCTCAGGAGGCTGAGAGGCAACTGGTGCTGGAGAAAGTCAGACAAGCTGAAGACAACATCAGCAGTCGCATCAGCAGCCTGCTGATGGACAACAACAGGTCTGAAGGAGGGGTTTCTGCGGATACTTTAAATATGGCGTCTCCACTGATGAGTCTGTGCTAACTGCAGTGTGTTCATCTGCATCCTTGCAGGCAGAAAAAGAGTGCAGAGTTCCTCCAAGCCATGGAGGAGGATCGGTGAGTGTTCTGACCAATGATCCATAACACACAGGGAAGAGAAATAAGACTCTACAACACAGCAGCACTCATCCAATTGTTTCCCACTTAGCTGTCTATTTCTGGAGCACTTTGTGAAGGAGATGCATAAAGTGCTTTCAGGGATGGGAGGGTAAAAAAAAAATAACAGCAGGACAAAAGAACACTTTACGAACCAGTTTGGAGGGCTTGATTTTCATATTCTGATCTTAATGGAATACAGATCGTGAGTTGCTGCGTTGCTCCTGTCTGGAATCTGACTCCATCAAAGCCAGTGGCGATGCTGTATTGTGATGGAGGTGCTGGTAGTTGTGTGAGATATTTCATGAGGGTACAGCGTGGTCCTAGTTGGACTTCAGTTGATATCTTGTCAACACATTACAAAGATGTTTTGTTGATAAAGCCACAGTGATTGTTTCTTCACATCCTGTTTAGGACTTAGCCGTTTTAAACACAGGAAGTTATAGAAAGTTCCTGTAAGAAAAAGAAAAAAAAAAAAAAAAAGTTCCTGTAAGTCTGCAGTGAAATGCTGAAACAAAATGTTTTCCCCTCAGGATCCGTATGGAACATCTGACCACCATCACGCAGGAAGAAGCTAACTCACTGAGGAAGAAGGAGGTGGCAGGTATAGAGCTTGTCTCATTCAGGCATTAAAACACATAATTTTACTCAGTTTTTTCTACTCTGGCTCTGTATGATATCATAGAGAGGGGATCTCCCTAATATGGTCATCTCAGGTATGGAAAGTTAATACTTAAAGTGTGAGATAAAGAAGGATTATTTTGAAGTGTGAATCATGCAAAGCTACTCTAAGAATGAAAACATAGAGCTGGAAAAGACAAAATGTAGCTAGCATGCTCCTCATGTGGTGTTTTCTTCCCCTCTCCTTGCTCTCTGTTTTTAGCGGCCATGCAGAAGATGCTGTCTGACAGCTGCGCCATGAGCCTCCTCCAGGAGGCCAGTGACTACCGCAGACAGAGCCTGGTCACTGAGGCCTGCAGGAGGTCAGAAACACACATATACACAAACCATAAACAGGGAGACCTGTGACAGCTTTTGGAAAGATGTTGTAATCTCTTCTCCTTATGTAACAGTTTAGAGAATTTAGACAGGAAGTTTGACAAGATGCTGTGCCTCCAAGTTCTGGACAAGTCCAAAGCTATCGCCCAGATCTTACAGGAGGTAGGATGAGTAGAAATCAAACCCCCACTCTGTTTAAAGCTGCTGGACTCGGTAACCCACCTCGGTGACCTGCCTTGAATGGTTGTCTTTGCAGGAGGAGATGCAGAAGGCAGCATTCCAGGCGCTGCAGCTCCAAAAAGACGCCGTTCATGGGTACATCCGTAACCAGGTCGGTGACGATGCATCATTGTTTTTTTATTTGTTTTTTTATTTTGCTTTGTTTTGTTTTTACAGCTCGTTTCTGCCAGAGGTCCAAAAAAACTCAGTTAATTCAAGTCTAAGGAAAAAAAATAGCTGAAAATGAAAAGACACTGGGCATTAACGTCATTTTACTTTTTCCCACAATCTGCTCATAATCAGATTCATCTTACTCATCCTAACAGTAATGAAGATGTCCAGTTTAAGTTGCTTCTCATAGATTATTATAGCCTCGGCAGCATGTCCCCTCTCCTTGCTTGCCTCATGTCTGCTTCTCCACTGTCCCTCAGATCCATCTCATAGAGGGTGAGTTAATGCAGCTGACTAAACTGGAGATTAAAAGACGCAATCTGGATGCTGAGAACCTGCAGGTGGGTGTCACCGCCTTCTTTGTTTGCCCTCCCATGTTTACTTTCACTTCCATGTCATCGCTTCATGGCAGCAGTTCAACATTTCAAGAAAACGATCAGCAGCTTTAAATGTGTGACTTAAAACGAGTGACAGAGGCAACTACAGTAAACAAACTGTTAAGGTTTTAACTGGCTACCAGTGAGGTTTTAGGAAGAAAGCTTAAAAGCGAAACGGCAGCCAACATTAGACAGTCCTTTTAACTGATCGAGCTGCGATCAATAAAAATGCAAAGAACTGTCAGTGCAGAGTTATCAAAAAACAAGCAAACGCAAGACTAAAAAGGTGTTCCCCAAGGTTCAGTTCTGGGACCACTGCTATTTATTTTATATGTAAATAATTTCAGTCATATAAGACAAGTACAAACTTGGATTTTATGCTGATGACATGGTGATGAACTGCTCTGCACCTCCTCAGGACCACCTCTCTGTCAGCAGCAGACAGCTTTTAATACAGTACAGCACAACCTGTGTGATTTATGCTGACAAAAGTAAACTGATGAAACCGTTTCATGTTGTGTATTTTTGCTGTGTACAGTCACGTGTGTGCTGCTAGTTTATGCGACTGCTGTTGGTTGTACTGCTGTCTGCTTTGGTGCGGAGGAAAAGATTCATATTAACTCATTCATATTAGTTCTTTTTTATTTACTTATTTTTAACGATGGAGTCACACTGCATTTTTTCTATGGTATTTTATTATAACATTGCACTCGAGCCCTGCATGGCCTTTTGAATTTGATATCCAAATTTTTTTTGTGTAATATTTAAATTTAAGTTTTTGTAATGTTGAATAAATAAACCTTAGTACTAACAAACATTGACTGCCCACAGCTGATAATGATGTGTGTGTAACGTCACTCCACTTGTGTGTGTTTGTGTGCAGGAAGTTCTGGTGGAGCAGCGCACGGCGCTCAGCGACATGTTGCAGCAGCTGCTGAAGCAGAGAGACCAGCGAGAGCAGGAGCTGCTGCAGGTTCTGGTGAGGAATTATCTCGTGGCGGTTTTGTTCTTCTTCTCCTAATTTCCTGTCATGTTTCTCCACTTCCTGTGGTGGGTGTTCATATTAAACATTAAGGTTCAAATAATGAGGTCAGCTTCCATACAGCAAGGCTTTGGTCTACTCTTAGTACTCCGTTTCATATAGTGACCTGAAACAGAATGGGCTCAGCATAGTCAACTTGTACCCTCTGTTTGTGAGAGGCAGCCAGTCAGAAGAAAGTTGGCCTAAAGGGGGAGGAGCTCAAACAGGTTGTTTCAGAGAGATGATGAAGGCTGCAGGTCTTGCAAGTCCCAGTATAAGATGAAGAAGTTCCACAACTCTCAGTGCTGAATCCAATAGAATTTGCTTTGTACATCCTTCCTTTATGTGGTGTCATTCAGTCATTTTCTGACATTTTTTAAATCATTTCTATACTGATGACATTCTGCTGTGTGCGTCTTTTAAGCTTTAGCGGATGAACAGTTAACCGTTTATCTCGCACTATCTCTCCATCAATGATCTTGATTGGGTATTGTGTGATTATTGATCCTCCTGAACTATATAAATGTCAGTCAAACTCTTTCTACCTTCTCACAAGTCCAGCGTTCGTGATCTTTTCATTATATTTGATTCTTCTTTGAGCTTCAACTCTCATGAAAAATCAGTTTCACAATCCTGTTTCTTTCAAATACATTTCTGGTTTCTTTTCTTTTATTCAGTTTTAACTTTTACATTTTGTATTGCAATTAAATGCATTTTAATTTTCTATTATATTTTAATGTTTTTATTCCTTTTGTTGTTATGATGGCTTTGTGACCAGATGTCTATGAAAACTACTTTATAAATAAACTTTATACCTGTTTGTAGAGTTTGTGTTTCCTGTTCTGAGGATAAACAAAAACCCATGTTGTGTTTTTCAGGCTGAGATGGAGCTGAAGTCTGAGTCCAACCAGCAGAACTACTGGATGATCCAGTACCAGAGGCTGCTGGACGCTAAGCCGCTGTCACTCCGCATGCAGGTTACATAGCACAGATGAACATCTGCAACATCTGGAAACAGAGTGTGGCATCCCACCTAAAGCTGTAATCTCTCTGCAGGAAGCGGGTGTGGAGAAGGAGCTGGTGAACTTGCTGTGCAAACTGTCCGCTCAGCACTACCTGCCCATTCTGGCTCATCATCGAGTGACGACCGAGGCGCTTCACCACATGAGCTCCTCCGACCTCAAGAAGGTGCGTCTGCAGCGCAAGTTTCTGTCTGGGCTGCTCGATTTGTTTTTTGTTTTTATTTTTTAAAATGTTTATCTTGATTATCTGTCATATTAACTGGAAGTCATTTGATTGGCCCAGGTCTAGTTTCTGCACCAGCATCTGTATGAACATCAACATCAAATAATCAATCTCCAGCGTAATGAAACAGAAAATTGGTTTATTTCACTCCATTATTTAGTTACTACTTCTGCCTTATTGAATATTAAAGATGAGATTGTTACCAGAGACACGGCTCAGCCTGGCTCTGGATCCAGCAGTGTTTTGGACAGATTCTTACTTTTGACAGATCAGACTAAACTATACATTTGATGTTGTTATTTTCATAAATCGGGTAAAATTAGAAAAACAGGGAGGTGCTGTTTTGATGGTCTCTACTCTGAAGGTGAATGGTGTCTTGATTCACCTTCGTCACTGAGTAGCTGACATAGCCATCTGCAGGTTTCTATACTCCAACTGGATCATGTTGCATTTAAAGATAATCTCAGTGTAACTTTTAAAGCTTTGTTTTTTTGGATCCATGGTGTCATGTCACATCCAGGTTTATGAAATCATCAGCTTTATGGAATTCTTTGTTTTCAGTTGGGCATCAGTGAAGCAGGAATCCAGAAAGCTCTTCTGAACTGGGCCCGGGAACGCCAGCCTCAAGGTACAGTCCACACATCACACCACAGCTGAGCGTTAGTCACATTGTAACACTGACACACTGCAACTGTTTAATGGGACAGAGATGTTAGATTTTCAGTGTTTAGCATGTGGAAAGTGACGTGATCCGTTTCCTCCTCTACAGGACCTTGTAAAGTCACCAAGCAGGAGGCGGAAGTGGAAGTCACCCCCTCTGCGCCATCTCCTTCCCCGCCTCCGTTCTTTCCCAGCACCTCAAACATCCAAATGCCCAGCCCACCACTCACCCCGGGGACCCCGGGGACCCCCGTCACCCCGTCAGCACCTACCCCCGTGGAAGGGCCGGGAAGCTCAGACTGTGTGGTCTGCATGGAGACCGGGGTAAGAAATGCTAAAATGGTCATGAGTTTAGTCTCAATGAGATTATAAGATCAGATGTCAGATTTGAGAGCAGAAAACACGTTTTTAGCATAAAAAACTGTTTGGGGTTTTAATAAAGGGGCAAAGTGACAAGTTTGACTGACAGGCATGATCTCAGTTATACAAACATGATTTACTGAGGTTCAGTACAAGTGTTGCTGCTGGGAGCATTAATGCATTAGAAATGAGGAGGAGGTGTTATCAGGATGAACGCTGAACCATTGTGCTCTGAAACCTGGATTTTCTGATTTTTTTTCCCCCTTATTTCTGATCTGATCTTAAATGGCAGTAAAACTTAACAAGTTTTATTCACCAAAACTGGAGCTCAGGCTTCTCGGTCAGTCTGTTGGTACAGCATCCTCACAGCAGCCCTATTATTGGCTAACTGCACTGAAAAGGCTCCAACAGCACAAACATGGTCCTGAGGTCCAGTTCAGGGACTCCAGTTAGCTGAGGTGAAGCCGAGCAGTTACACTGCCTGTGTGGCCATCCACCTGTCTGTCAAAGAGGCCACGCCCCTATTAATGCAAACTGTGCTTCAGATAAGATCCAATGGGACTGACACGCTTTTGGAGCCTTGTGTGGCCACTAGAGGAACTGCAGTTTTTGGCATGAGAGGTGTTAGTTTTTACGTTTTTTCCACTGTTAAGTATTTTGGTAATAACAGTCTCCACCTGCATGGGTGCAGAGGAAACAGGAAGTGCTGATGGCTTATTCAAGATGGTGAGAACCAGGACAGCCTGAAAGATGGCTTCAAAGTTGAGATTACTCACTGTCTCTCCTGTCTCTGCAGTCTCAGGTGATCTTCCTGCCGTGTGGTCATGTGTGCTGCTGTCAGGTGTGTAGCGATGCCCTGCAGAACTGCCCTCTGTGCCGGGCCAACATATCCCAGCGCATACGCCTCTACCACAACTAGACCCTCTTCCCTCACCAACTGTCACTTTCAGCTATTTATGCATGACGATGAAGCTGCTGCTGTGTCGTGTCGAAAAGCTTTTCGTGGGTTTTTAAAGCGCTGAGCCACTTTTCCTGTAATCACCAAACTGTATTCTGTGAAGGACATTCTCAGATCTTTTTAACGTGTTTCCAGTCGTCTCTGGTGGATTTATTTGTGTCTGTTCTGTTTAAGTTGTGTAATTTTTATTTTATGTGATATATAAAGAGCCGAGTGGATGACACCACTCACTGACTGTTCACTGCCTTCATGACTGATGCGTGCCTTTTTCTATGATTTTTTTTTTATTTTTATTTTAAATTCTAGTGTAGTAACCAAAGCTTAACGTTTAAATAACTCAGTATAGTCTGGTGATCCTTAAAGATTTCTGTCCTCATTGCTCATCGTTTCCATCTCTGATTCGGCCTCTTACTGCTGCTTTTCCTTTCGTCCATCTGTTTCACCTGTACCATGTAACAAATGTCACCTGTCTGTGTGTAGCATCACTAATGCTGGTGTATTTTACCAAGTGCTCTTAACCTCTCGCATGCTTCAGTAAAGTCTCTCCTTTAAAAACTCCACATGAGTTTGTTCAGTGTCAGAGATTCCACCTCAGCGCCAATGTGATGATATCGTCAGACTGTATGAATATAAAATCCATACGTGTCATTTCCTGTGGTCAGAGTGTGTGTGTTTTTTTATTGATTATAACTACACAGGCAGATATCTCAACACAGTGTATGTATATAAACATGAGCTATAAAACAACTACACACTCATTTCTGAGCTTTTTCTACTATTACTGTGACCTTTAACGTCGATTTGAGGGTTTAACATTTGGATTTGATTAAATCCTGAGTTCCATTTTATCGAGCTATTGATGAAGTTGGAAGGCTGGAGCAGTGTGATCAGAGATGTTACCTGGATCTAAGCCCAGCCTTGAAATATTCTGGATTTTCACTCAGTGACAGCACCTTTTCTAAACTTATTCACTATACTATACATTGAAATGATTATAATATGTTGGACATAGTGTGCTAGGCTCTTCCACAGAGTGACACTGAAATTAAAAATCTAAAGTTCTCACAGTTTGTTCAGTGTGAATCTTGTTTCCTGTAACTCGGCACAAAATCTGCTTCTCGGACTATGAAAGAGTATTTTGTATTTCTTCAGTGGTTTAGTGACCATCAGATCAATCACAAAAGTGCTCTTATTCCATAGATGACAGTCCCTGTGACAGCATATGAAGTGCTTTAACCAGTCCATTTATCATAATACCAGAGACTGTATCAAATGATTAATAATCTATAAAGAAATTTTTAAAAAAGAAAAAGAAAGTCTCTGACTTTTTCCAGAACATTCATCTGTTGTGGTTCAAGGTGAAGGAGTGAGGAGGTTTGTAGGAAATTTACTTGACCACGAGGTGGAGACAAACACAGAGCAGTCACTGTTTGATATTTGACATAAGACAACATTAAGCACTGTAGGCTAATATAATTTTTAAATGAGACATAATGAAGCTACATAGTGGATGAATCAGGAAATTAAATTTAAAAAATATGTTTTTTTAAGATGTTTTAGGCTCAAATTTAAGACAAATCAATAAAAATAAGTCACTTTGTAGCTGTTATTAATTAATACTTAAATGAAAATTATGTCTTCATCAAGAATAATGTTAACAAAAATGAAATAATAAAGAATAAACAGCAGAAGTTGCTTGTGAAAGAATTTTTACGTAAACTTTGCTATTTCTGATTTTCCTCCGGGGCTCTGAACGCAGCATCGGCCTGTGAGCTAATCACAGCGTGCCTGCCGTAAAGTGTGGCGTTGAGGGTCATCATGACCAGTTTATTTTGTTCATTTGTATAAGTTTCTAGGTAATTGTCGACGAAGACAGCGACGGTGAGTGGATTTGTTTGCTTGTGGTCATAAATGTGAATTATAGACGAAAAAAAAGAAATAAGTAAAATAGCGGATCAGATTTTTATCAGTCGGTTAGCTAGTATTCTAGCACGTTAGCATGCCGCTCAGTTATGTAGTCCTGAGTGAAGGTGAACACCTGCTAATTTAACTGTTTAACTGTTATATTTTATTCATTTCATTATATCTACTGTAAAAAGTAACCGAGATACCTGCTGGTCACGGAAAATGGTTTGTTGTGGCCCAAATAAAGAAATGCGGAACATATATTTCTGAGTGAAAAATGAAAGTATTGCTAATCAATGTGTTCAGAGCCAACGTTTCCTGTTTGACGAGTCAGCATGTATTTATCACACAGACATGTGTACATGTGCGAAGACAGTCTCATGCTTATAAGGATGAAAGTCAGATGATTAGAATTAAAGTCACGTTATGGTTTGTATTGTTTAATTGATTGTTTTTACTGAAAACTAACAGCAGAGCTCTGCTTTACGTTTATTGGTTTCGAGTCTTCTCTTTATGGGCACTGTTTTCGTCTAGTATCTATTATAGAATAGATAAAACTTTATTCTGCGCCAGAGTCGAGCATCATCTTTGTTTCACCAAAACATTCATTCAGAACTTCATCTGTTTACATGTACACAGCAGGCAGCTGAACAAATGCAGCTTCCTGTCCAATAAACTCTGGGTTATTAACCATGACAGTGAAACTCTATCACTGTCACATCTGGGAACTTCGCCACTGCCTGGGTCACCCAAGGAAAACTGAACCTGAGTCCCCATCTGGGGCCAGTTAAGAGGAAAATAAGTGGCTGTGTCACATGAGCCAGGAGCGAGTTTACCAGGGTCTTAGCCTGAATGAGCCACACGTGTCCTAACTCCTGCTGTGGGACTGCATGCTGAGTGGCTCAGAGAGAATCAAACTCTTTGCTCCATGTTTAATTTAGTCCCTGAGGCTTTTTTGTATCCAAAACATGATGAGTTTCTGTTCTTGTGTTTCTGTCAGCAGTCATGTCAAATCCTGCCCTGCTCGTTCTGTACGGGAGTCAGACCGGGACAGCTCAGGACACGGCACAGAGGCTTGCCCGGCAGGCACAGAGACGGCGGCTGCGGGTCCGAGTGATGCCACTGGACGACTACAATGTGGTGAGTGAGACCTTATTCAAAAATAAGGGGGGGTGTTAAAGTTTTCAGAGCTGTGACTCGATAAATGTGGAATAACTGTGGGGTCACAGTCGGTGTTTCACATGTTTATACCCAACTTTAGTCCCAGAGCTGCTCCTGAGTACTCCTCCTCAACCTCACAGCGTGCCTTTTTCCTCCCATCAAACAGGCCAACCTGATCACCGAGTCTCTGGTCGTCTTTGTTTGCTCCACTACTGGTCAGGGAGATCCTCCCGACAACATGAAGGTAAGAAAAATGAAAACTGGAAGAGTGAAAGGTGACCTTCCAAAAAGGAAATATTATTTTTAAGCACAATTACCTTTTTACTTCAAGTCTTTCCAGTTTGAAATTAACCAAGAGTTTTCCTTTTCAAAGTTTAGAGTGTTTCCCCTCTTCGTCCTGCTAAATGTAGGGATCTTTGAGGTCTGTCCATAAGGTTTTTGAGTCAGTCAGTCATGGTCAAAGCTTCAGAGTGAATTAGATTCGAATCCTCAGATTAAAATCAGATCAGATTCACGCGAAACACATGAAACACGTTCTCGGCTGAGAGAGACATTAAAGCTTTTTTAAAACTGTTGTACACTATCAGTAGCGTCAGTAGCGTCGGACATAACAGGTGGATTTCTCCTGGACTTATCAATATGAAGGTAAAGTGTTGTATGGCTTCATTAAATGTAGTGAAGTTATATTAAAGAAAGAAGCTAATTCTGAGGGTCAGTGAGAACCTCTGTGGTTTTTCTGAAGAATGATAAAAGATTTCATGCACAGCCAATTATATTTTGAAAACCTTTACCTGTGTCTGAGACGTCCATGTGTTCTTTGTTTTAAGAATTTCTGGCGGTTCCTCTTTAAGAAGTCTTTACCTGTCGGCTCTCTGAGTCAGCTCGACTGCGCCATCCTGGGCCTGGGAGACTCCTCGTATCCAAAGTCAGTCCAGGATTTATGCTCGCTGTTCTCACCATTAGCCTACAGTGACTCGTCTGGTTTTTGTTAAAGCCTGTGCATGTTGTGTGCACCGCAGGTTCAACTTTGTGGCCAAGAAGCTCCATAAGCGCCTCCTGCAGCTTGGTGCCTGCGTGCTGCTGCCCGTGGGGCTGGCTGATGACCAGCATGACCTCGGGTAAGAGACAAGTGTAAACATGAACATGGCGGAGGGTTTGTTGCGCGTGTGCTGAGCTGACGGTGTGTTTGATGCAGAGCGGACGCTGTGATCGACCCCTGGTTTGCTTCGTTTTGGGGGAAAGTGTCGACTCTTTACCCGACTCTGTCCGGCATGATGCCGCTGAGGGAAGACGAGCCGTGAGTATCTGCTCCGTGTGTCCCTCTCTCAGAAAGCGTACGTTTAATTTATAGGTTTGTTCTGTCTTTTTTGCGACAGACTTCCTCCAACCTACACGTTCCACTTCCTGGACGACATGCAAGAGAAGGAGGAGGTCCAGCTGAGGATTCCCATGGATCAAACTGTCCCCTCCCAGTCTCACCCATTTCCTGCCAGAATGGTGTTCAACAGGAGGGTGACGGAGCCGTCGCACTTCCAGGACGTCAGGCACATTGAGTTAGACGTCACTGGGTCCAACATTGAGTACGTAACCTTGATCCCCTGAAGATTACTTTTCAGACCTGCATGTTTTTTTTGTCCTGAAACGCCTTGTTTGGAGCAGAATCTGCTCTGAATACGACCCTGAGTTTCAGTATTTAAGTAAAAGCAGTAAGCCTCGTTGGTCTGCCGCCATCTCCAGCTGTGTCGCTGTCCTCCAGGTTTGCTGCCGGTGACGTGGTGATGATGCGCCCATGTAACGCCCCTGAGGATGTGCAGCAGTTCTGCCAGCTGCTGAAATTGGACCCAGAGACCCGGTTCACTCTCAGCCCCACACACAACACTGCAGGTCCGTCCCTGTTTCTTAAATATCCCTTCCTATCAATGCACTTCCTTTCCTTTGAATAAATCTGACCTCTGAATGTTTTAATGACTCTTAGTCAGATCTATAATCTGTATATAAAAGATCGAGGTAGCTACAGTGACCTCACTGTTTTCATTTAAAAGCAGCTTGGAAATAATTTTAAGACAATCACTGATCAGTCTGAGTCCATCTTTCAGTCCCAGCCAGGCTTCCTCAGCCCTGCACGGTGCGCCACCTGGTGGAGAGTTACCTGGATATCGCCGCTGTGCCTCGCCGCTCCTTCTTCGAGCTGCTGTCCACCTTCGCCACCAACAAGCTGGAGCGGGAGAAGCTGGCCGAGTTCAGCTCAGCGGCGGGCCAGGATGAGCTGCATAACTACTGCAACCGACCCCGACGCACCATGCTGGAGGTAACGGTCAAAGAGGTGGAGCTTAGAAGCAATTTTGCAATTATTAAACCCAAACAGGATTCAGACCTGTGTAATAAATAAATCTGTCTTCATCTGCGTTTTACCTCCGATCTGCTCCTTGTTGCTGCAGGTCCTGGCAGATTTCCCTCACACCACAGCAGAACTCAAAGTGGACTATCTCCTGGACCTTTTCCCTGAGATCCAGCCTCGCTCCTTCTCCATCGCCTCCTCTCTGCGGGTAGATCATCCTTCTTTATTAGATTTAAAAAGTATTTATATTTTAGCGTTATAGCCGTCACTGTAAAGATGTGGTCTGCCTGCAGGCCCACCCAAACAGGATTCAGGTCCTGGTGGCTGTTGTTTGCTACAAAACCAAACTGTATAAACCTCGAAAAGGCCTCTGCTCCTCCTGGTTAGCCTCTCTGGATCCTGCACAAGGTACTCCACCTTATCTGTAGCATATGCTCACCGTAACTGTTAGCAGCCACCTACATACACTGATGATTAGATTAGGGCTGATTAATCAAATTCCAGCAGTGAACTGGCATCAAATGACGACTCTTTTTAAAATTCATTTTGGATACAAAGCTCTAATTTTGAACAAACCTCATGCAATGTAACCCTGAAACTACTTGTGGTATAGGATAGTCTTCATTAAATAAAGTTCAGCTGAAATCCTGAAGAACTTTAAATAATTAGATCGGATTAATAAGCCATTCTAATTAAAGAATTTAAATGTTTTCCTAATCTGTGTCCCAGGCGATGTGTATGTGCCTTTGTGGGTGAAGAAGGGAAGTCTGAAGTTCCCCTCAGACAAGGAGACCCCGGTGATCATGGTGGGACCTGGAACAGGAGTGGCCCCCTTCAGATCGGTGTTACAGGAGAGGACCGCTGAGGGGAGAACTGGTGAGATATCTGATTACATTTCCCAATCGCTCCACAGTCTCTCAGAGCTCACGTGACGACACGCCTCTTCATCCTCTTCCTGCACGGCAGCTAACGTCCTCTTCTTCGGCTGCCGCTCCAAGTCCAAAGACTTCTACTTCAGGACAGAGTGGGAGGAGATGATGGAGGCTGGATTCCTCACCCTCTTCACGGCCTTCTCTCGAGACCAGGTCAGAAACACGCTCCTGTTAACCCTGTAAATAATCACCAATATGAACAACAGCAAATGGGAGATGATCAAACTTCCAGTGTCCAGGAGTTCGGTAGGTTTTGACCTTCAAGCATTATTGTGTTTGTTCAGGAGGCAAAGGTGTATGTGCAGCACCGTGTGAGGGACAATGGTGAGCTCCTGTGGGACCTGATCGCCAATAAAAACGCCTGTTTTTACATCGCTGGGTGAGTCTGAGGCCTCGAAGCTGCCGCTGATAACCTCCCCCACTGAAACTCAGGTTGTAGAGTTTAAAATACAATTCTGGGACAAAACAAAAACCCTGGTCTTTTATTGTCTAAGGATCACATCTGGAAGCTAGTTTTGATTCTTCTTTAACTAAACTTCAGGTCTTCTTTGTGTTTCCGTGCAGCAACGCTAAACAGATGCCAGCCAGTGTGTGCGACGCCCTCAAAGAGGCGTTCCAGCAGGCGGGAGGTGTGTCCGCTGAAGAAGCCAAGCAGATGCTGGCGACCATGGAGAAGACGGGTCGGTTTCAGAGCGAGACCTGGTCGTGATCGCTCGGCCCCAACAACCTTTTGACTACACTGGGATCCGTCCAGCTGTCAGAATCAACTTATTCCAACAAATGAAAGAATAACCAAAAGTCTGTTTGACGCTCTCTTAATAGAACGAGATCATTTCACCCCACAGAAAGTTCACACTTTGGCTCTGTTTGTGGGTTTGGATGCTTTTAGGGTTGGGCTTTAGCTTCATCTGCATATTTTCTACACACTACTTTAAAAACCTGAACAGGCTGCTTTGCTTTGAGCTAAGTCGACTGTTATTGTGACGCAGCCGCAGAGATGTGCTGCAGTAGATCATTGGACCAGTTTCCTTAATTCTTTCTACTGCGTTGGCCTGCTGTGGAAACCCAAACCAAATCTGGTGCTTCCTACACTTTCATTCATGAGAAGTCTCTGGAGGTCATGATGAAAAACCTCACTGATCCCCCAACATATGAATCATTTTAAAGTCAAGCAGTAGAAGATCTAAACCCTGATCCGTGAACGACGTACCCAATAGTTTTTAGCTTTTTCTGTGGAAGAGTACTGTAGTCACCACACAGTCGCTGGTGTACAGCATCACTGAATATTACCCAATAACAGGGACAGAGAGGATTGCATCTCACAACTGGAATCAAGTTACAGAAACAGTTTAAGGAACAAGTCGCTCTTCTCCTCCTTCCTGCCTCCATTTCTGATCGTCTGTGACATCAGGAGAATCTCAGCAGGTGGTGATCACAATATTTCATCACATCAGTTTGCCTGATTGCATCTAACCTGTATGAAATCATTTGGCGTGAACTTTTAGTCAGATAAACCCTTTGAGAACTGTATGCACTGCAGATAAAGGGCATGTTCATTCCTCCTGAACAGGAGTTATAATGGTAATCTGTGAAGTATTTATTGCCTTTCTTGAGCTTTATTAAGTGTGTTGACCAGAAAGTAAAACCAAGTAAACAGTGTTGCCTTAAAGTACGTCAGTGAGGTCCTAAACTCTTAAATGAAGCTATAAGCATTCAGTAAAATACGTCACAATAAACTGTCTGGATCTGAAAACTCCTCCAGAGTGTTTTTGTTTCTGGTTTCTTCCTGAAAATTAATAATTCATACAAGATACATCCACCATCAGGCTGCATCTGAAATTAGCCGACTATGAACACTCCAGTGACTAAGCTACTGATCATTACAGGAATGAGCCAATCAAATCATGCAAACGCCACAGCACTGCTGCTGACCACTCAATGTTATGAAAACAGCAGACGTTGATCATTGTGAGTAATCAGCCAAAGCAACGAGCGGCTAGCTCAACCTACATTTTAAAGCTCCGGGGTTATTCGCTGTTACTATGGCGACATGCCAAGCAAAGACAAGTCTACGCTGTAGCCCCCACAGCTGGCTGACGGTGGGTTTGACATCTGTAACAAGAAACAATGGAACTGAACAGGCCAATCACAGTCATCATCAGCCGTGAAAACACGACATGCAGTTGTTTATAAGGAGGCGCACGGCAGATTAAGGTGAAGGCTTTCATTAGGGTTTGTGACTGGATCTAATGTATAAATCCCACATTAAGAGAATTCTTGTTCATGTAGTGCTTGAACACCTGATGTGGGCATTGCATCGGTTCATTTTGATGTGAAACTGCACAGCCAATTGTAACACAGCTCCACAGGTTTCTAAAAGTAAATAAAGATGCTTGGTTGTGTGCTGTGAACAGAGAGCAAAGAAACACGACACTGACTCCATTTCCTTATTTTTATCTTCCAGCTTCCCTGAGGTAAATGACTCTCAGCACTGACTCCGCCCCTTCATACAATCCCACTACACTACAACTCCCAGCATCCAATGTGGTGTCACCGTCCACCAGATGCATGTGGTGCTCTTTTCTCCCATGCATCATTAGGCAGGCTTTCAGGAATTGTAGTACAAACCTGGTAACCCGGATACAACCACTCAGTTAGCTAACCGTTCACACGTATAAAAACACCTTAAGGAGAACGTCCAGCCTCACAGATCAAAACTGCTGCAATAAATACATCATTTTTATTGATCGTTAATCTGCAGTTTGGTGTATTTTTCCTATAAAATGTCCAGAAGTAACAAAAATCTCTGTCACATTTTCCTTAAAGTGAGCTTTTTAAAAATACTAGGCGATATAAAAGCAGCAAATCCTCACAGAGAAACCGTCCGTTAGATAACTGTTCAGGAGACAGCGACACAGCTGCATCTGGCGGACGTCCTGAGAAAGTCCAGCACAGGAAGTGGCGTTTGTGGATGATGCAGAAACATTTTGATCATTACCCCACGCTGCAGTGACCCCAGAATAAACAAAGCCCACAGTTAGAGAGCGACCCATGATAGAAAACAGACTATTAAAAAGCCCCGCCCCCACCCCCTTCGCCGCTCGTCCTCTATCTGATGGCCAGCGTGTGGACCTGGTAGAGCTCCTTCGGGAAGTTCTTTTGTTGCTCCTGATGGACGATGCGGAGGCCGGCTTTGCTAACCAGGCTGCACACTATGTTCAGATCGCGGCACACGCTGCTGTCCTCCTCATCAGGGATCACGCCCTCATATGACACGTTGTCCTTGATGACAATGAGACCGTTGGGCCGCAGCGCCTTCTGACAGCGGCGCAGGAAGTCTATTAGGTGGTCGTCTGTCAGGTGACCTAAGGGTGGAAAGAACAAAAAAATGAATTAGAATGAGGAAAGTTTAGGTCCCACTCCGGGTCAGGGATGAGTTCCTGCCCCAAGTGGAGGAGTTTAAGTATCTCAGGGTCTTGTTCGCGAGTGACGGGAGAAGGGAGCCGGAGATCGACAGACGGATCGGTGCAGCGGCTGCAGCGATGCGCACGCTGTGTTCCCCTGGACAAGCTGGTGGAGGTGGCTGGGGAGAGGGAGGTCTGGACTTCTCTGCTTGGGCGGCTGCCCCCGCGACCCGGCCCCGGATAAGCGGAAGAAAATGGATGGATGGATGGAAGTTTAGGTCATCTAATCGCACACCATTTTTCATTTGCTTTCCGACTCAGACTCACCAATGACCCACTGGATCCAGATGACATCATAGCGCCCGCTCTCCGGCACAAAGTCCTGCAGGCCGCAGCAGAAATAGTTGCCCACCCTCTTGCTGTCGTCTCCCAGGTACGTCTTGGCTTTGTCCAGGAACTCCTGTGTCACGTCCACCAGGTCAACAGTCTTGAACAGCGGCAGCAGCAGGCGCTTTGTGATCCTACCGATGCCTGCGCCGCAGTCCAGAGCGCAGCCTGAGCCAGTCTTCCCCTCGCCATCCTGCAGAGGAAAGAGAAAAAAAGATGACTAGGGTTTACACAAAGACCCAAGTAAAGCACAATTCAACTGCATCACAAACAAGGAAACAGCAGCACTCGCTCCCTTTGAAGGTCATACAGCTGTTATCACCCATTTTTATCCACAGATTACAAAATAATAAGCTTTTCCTACATATAATCCAAAGCATAATGATAATAATTCACTGGAGAACCCTACAAGGGTCAGATCAGCATGTCGGATTAGTGGCTGCTTGGCACGTGAAAGGTCTTGTTCTCCGGTTTTTCATTTCATTATTAATTTTATATTTTAACAACCAATGTCTGAAAACAATGTTTGAAAACCATGAATTCCCTGTACACAGAGTGCTACTCAAACATGCTACAATCTTTTTAGAGGTTCTTACGCCAAGGAATTTCTGCAGGAAGGCCTTGGACCCGTTAATGTCGATGCTGGAGATGCTGCCATAGCCTCCCAGCATGCCGTCCACCGTGGGTGGGATATCCTTCCAGTAGTCCTGAGCGTTGGAGTAGAAACTCACCTCGTCCTCGACTATGTCCCCCATCCTGAAAGGAAAATGCACAAAAATGTGAAAATCAATCAATGGCTGAATCATGAAAAAAAAAGAAGCTTCAGTCAACATCAAAAGAGATTCAAGGATTTTTGAAGGAGGTTAAATTTGCAATATCACTGACCACTCTTATTTTGAAAGTTCAGTTGCTGCTAACCAGCTGCTTCTTCCATATAGAGTATATCTGCTTGTTTACACTGAAAGACTGAATTATTAGCGGCGTGGTGCTCCATGGACAGGACTTCTGGACCACATCAGTGCTGTTGGTGTCTTTTTAGTGTTTATAATTCCATCATCTGACCAATGATGTGGCCGCTGTGCAGTTAATTGTATAACAGGCCATCCAAGAAGTCTGAGCTCCAGTTTTGGTGGGTGAAATAGTTGGATTTTTGTTTGGAGGTGTCTGCACTTTAGTGGCTCTAAAAAGATCCAGAAAGATTTCTGCTGTGGCGTCCATGAGGTCACGCAACTGTTTCGAGCTTCAGCTCATGGTCAGACTGACTCACATTCCTGTGGGAAAAATTTAAATACCTGCCTAAAGGAGCCTGAGAGTTGTGCTGCTTTTATTGTTATGATGACAGCAAAATGCTTTTTATTGTCTCCATTCTGGACATAAGACCGAGCCACGCTAAAAATAAATAAAGACACCTGCGCAGAAATAAACAGGCTAGTTCCTGTTTCTGAGCAACAAACCTCACTCTCTGGCACCGGACAGTGGGACATGAGGTCTATCACCTGTTCATCATGAAAGGGGAACCACACACACACACACACACACACACACACACACACACACCAAATGTGGCATCATGTGGCTGCAGTTCAGCTGTCAGCGCCTGTCTTGTGAACAGGACAGAGTGGATGGTTTAAATGTGCAGAGTTTTGTGTGTTTCACACACGAACAGCCTGACTACAGACAGAAGCAGCTACATGAAACCATAAAACTGCTATTTATTATTATTATCATTATTAATAATACTTCACACTGGGGCTGTGGACGTAATCACTGCCAGGCTTTAGGACAGTTTTCTGTTATATTTTTCCTTCTTATATCTGATTTACAGTTACAGAACGAAATACTCGCTTTTTACAGCCAATATTTTCCCCAAATCTGAGTAACTGTGTTATAAGTGGAAGTAAATGACTGTTTATGATTTCTGCTTTAACCGAGCAGTTAATAAAGTTTACAAAGTCCTCTTAAAGTGACAGCTGCACCTATATGTGCCTCCCACACCTGCTCACTACAACAAATAACTGCCTGTTTCTGTCGTTTTTAATCAGAAACTTCCCACCTGTCGCTCTCTGTCACTTTTTACGTACTCTCCCTCTCCTTCGTCTGACGCTCTGCACGTGCTAACTTGCACCTAGCCGCCGTCGTTACGCTGTTTCCGCTGTTAAATACCCGCCTCTGCCGGTTATCAGCCCGATAGATTCACTCTCCGTGATCACACCGACCTGGTCTGGAGTCAACGCCTGGTCCCACTCCCTCCTCGGCCCCTGTTGAACCCACTCCCGGTGTCTGCTGTGCTTCACTTTCCTATTTGGGACCGTCACACGCGGTACGTTACTTCCTCTTTTGGTTTCCTGGGAGAAGAAGCGGCCACAGCGCCCCCTGCTGCCCTTCGTAGACCCACTTCTTTCACCTGTGCTTTTGGACCAGGTCATTTCAGACCCAGGATGAAACATAAAAAACACAGCTCAGGATCATCTCTGCTTCCTGTCAGGGTTACTTATTATGACTTTCTATAAGAACTGTGGCAGGACAAGGAGAAAAAAAGCCGAGTATAAAACAAAAAGGTACACACCCATCTGCCTCACCTTAAAAATCCCTGTTCACTTTTCAGTGGTTCCAGTCATCTCTGGATGTTAAAAATTAAATAATAAAGCTACTACTACTACTCATTATTATTATTATTATTATTATTATTATTATTATTATTATTACTACCATTATTATCTAGCATTTGCCTGAAGTCTGTATTCCAGATGTTCTTCACATCAACTATACTTTCCACTTCCTCCTTGGAATCCAAAGGTGTTCCCAGGCCAGACGAGATATGGAATTTATTCAGGGGGTTCTGGGTCTGCTTTAGGTGGCGTCCTAACCAGATATCTGAACAACCTCATCTTCTTTCAACACGCATGAGCAGCAGCTCTACTCCGCTGTAGTAGTAGTAGCAATAGATGTAGTAGTAGTAATAATAGTAGTATTACTGTATTAAGGTTGAAGAAATTTTTCTAGAGGGTGTCTGAGCTCAGCCTTAGAGATGGGGTGAGGCATTAATAAGGTGGTCATTAAAGCCTCCTCCACACTGAACAAAACCAGCTGAGGTGGTTCAGGCTTCTTCCTGGACACCTCCTAGATGAGTGGTCTGCAAACACCTTATTTTCTCTCTGGAACAGCTGGAAGAGGTGGGGATGGATGGATGGATAAATCCTCATTTTTCTTTTTTCGTTGTTTCATTTTTGTAACATAAAAACAGCACCACTGTCCTTCTAATTCTAAAGCTTAGGTGGAATTTTAACAGCAAAGGAATAAATCTCACAGTAAGCCGATGGAGTTAGAGTAAGAGTCCTATCATATAAAGTGAGATCTCTTTTTACAGACTGACCCGTGTACAAAAGGCATACACTTTCAAAGCATACAAACACAACACATCACATAATAGATGTGACAAATGAAACTGCAGAAATATAAATATAACCTTCCTTTAAATCAAAGACTGTAGTTCACATTTGTTGTTTGGGCAGCAGGTTACTTAAATCCCATTTCCCGAGTTCAGTTTGTATACGAAGTACAGCTCATGCTAGAAAGTGAACAGACAGTTTCAGCAATATAGTGTTTAAATTTCTTCAGAGCAGAGCTTGCTGGGCAATCTTTGCAGCAGAGCCAACGATCATTACAACAGTCCTTCACTACATGCACAGGACCATGCTTAACTATTTCACTTCTTCATACAAGATGTGTGAGAAAAGAAATCAGAAACAATAATCCACCCCAGCTGCTTCCATTACAAAGAGGTGCAGTTTCATGGTGGAGCTGCAGTGTTTTCATTGAACCACAGGAGGGCAGTACAGTATAGAGCTAAATGGGAAAAAAGGAAAAGGTGGGGAGAACTTCACTGTGATGATTTGGAAAGTTCAGTCTGCAGAGCCAGTCTCCATCTGCATCCAGTCCTCAGCGCTTACACTGCGCAGATACAACCAGCCACATTCCTGCACATGTGCACTCATTAAAAATATAACTGATTATTTCTGTTTTATACCTCCAGAGAAAGGCTTCCTCTCTGAAATATTTAAAACCGTCGTGAAAATAATCCCGTGTTTCAGTCACATCCACTCCGCTGCTGCTTTCAAGCGACACACAGTCAGTTCCTGCGGTCACCAGTGAGAGGAGCTCCAGTGCAAAAGAAAACGAGAGAGAGAAAGAGAGAGAGAGAGGGAGAGAGAGAGAGAGCGAGCGAGAGTGAGAGTTCATTTTTGTCATCGTTTGAGGATTCAGTGCTGAAGAGCTGTTCATTCCTGCACTGAACACACAGCAAACCTCAGTAAACCTGCAGGGACAGCACATATCAAACAATCATGAGAAAACTGGGATGCTCTGTGAGGATATGACACATGTTTGTATGTACAACATACTGTTTGCTCAGGAAACACGTACTCTGCACACAAACAGCAGTTACTGATACTCTTACATGAAAAAGACAAAGAGAGGATTCATCACTGCTTTTTCTGAAAAGCAGTCCATTCCACTCTGAAGTTTACGTTTTTCCTTCTCTGCGTCGTTCACAGCTGACAATTTCCACTCATTGTTTTCCCTTTAGGAGCTTTAAAGTGGCCAAAAATCACCCTATTTCTCACTGCCTGATGGGTCCATCATATCCATATCAAGACTGAACCAAGAGGAATTGAACAAAGTCTGGATGCATGTCATAAATTTGAAAGAGACCCAGCAGTCAGACTCGGCCGAGCTGCCAGTTATGAGTTAAATTGCTTCTTTTTTCAGTGTGAAGCCATGTGCTCATGTTCTAAATCACCATCACTGATGTTACCCACCGGTTTTGGACTCGTTTTGAAGCCTCAGCATCAATGTTTTGGTCAACACCATGTTGGTTTTCTTGGAGTCAGAAGTGACCAAATGAGGATGAGAGGAGTGATGAAGCTGCGTGCACAGACTGTATTAGTGCACCACACAGACAGAGATACCTGCCAAACAGTGCTAAGTAAGTAAGTAAGTAACAGGCTAATAAAAGTATATTTAGACCACTTGAAATCAATCATTCCACTTCATGTGAAATCATCTACAAGTGATGTAGCATGGTTACCAATTTATTTATTTATTTAAGACTAGCTGCTCCAGTAAATTCAGCACCTTGAGCAACAATAAATAGGAGACTGTGCCAGAAAAAAGAAATATTTGATGATGAGTGCTCGGGCAAAGACCAGGCCTTTGAGAAAGAGGAACAGAGAAATGATAAATATCCTATATTTATATAGCGCTTTACTAGTCCCTACAGACCCCAAAGCACTTTACACATTCAGTCATCCACACATTCACACACTGGTGATGGCAGCTACATTGTAGCCACAGTCACCCTGGGGCGCACTGACAGAGGCGAGGCTGCCGGACACTGGTGCCACCGGGCCCTCTGACCACCACCAGTAGGCAATGGGTGAAGTATCTTGCCCAAGGACACAACGACCAAGACTGTCCAAGCCGGGGCTCGAACCAGCAACCTTCCGATTACAAGGCGAACTCCCAACTCTTGAGCCACGATCGCCCACAGAGAAGGTCAAACTAAGCCTGTAAATGTTCAAATTACTGAGGTCACCTGTAGTTTGCGTGGAGGCGCCAACTTGTCACTTGCCGTTTACTCTTTTCAAGGGACTAAAAAAGGAGTAAAAGCTGCTCCTTACCACTGCAACCAACACGTTTCAAAAGGTGCCACTTTTATTTTGAAAGCAAACCGTCTTTGCTTCTGGTTTTCATTGTACTTTTTGATGTTTTACACAGTTTCACTGGCGACCATGGCATCCTGCTAGCGGTTATGGAATACACTGTTTTCCAAAGCGACCCTACTAGTCACCGCTGGTTATGAGAGGGTCACTGAGCCATGACTGACGCCTTAAACAGGTCAGCTAAAACAAACAAACAAACAAACAAACAAACAAAAAAAACCCATTTTTTTATTAGGCTACGCACATGTTTATTTCTGCTGTAAAGTTGGACATTATGCCATGGAAGTCTTAGGGGATTGACTCATGTTTGGAGCGGGCCTCAAATGGACATTAAAAGAACTGACCTCATTTTTCAGCCCTGGAGGTCAAAACCGGGCCACTAAACCACTGAGGGGGGATTTGATTGGAAGAAAACCCTAAAACATCGTGTAACTGAAAGAATTCTCCAATGAAGAAAGGTCAATAATTACAACAAGCCTAATCCAGGATGGTTTGGTATCATGTAAAACGCCTACGACACTGAACTTATAAATAACCTTGGCATGAGTATGATAATGTGGGCTATATATCTATCTTTCATCGTCAAGTCAGGGAAATGTCATGTTGGATGTTGGAATGTGAAATGTTAAAGACCCACCAGAGATAAGTGCAGCTGATCTGCAAAGACATCTTCAGGGCAGCAGGGCCGCCGCTGAAGAGACCGAGGCCGTGGCCTCTGTATTGTTTTGGTGAATTTGAGGGTTTTAATGACCCGAGGACGAGCAGGGTTTTAAAGATGTTATGTTATCATTGAGAATGAATTCAAAGTCGGTTGTATGTGTTGCTGCTTATTACATTATGACTCAAGGGCTGCAGTTATAGTGGGCTGAATGAATATGAAAACGTGAGCTTACATTGGGTCTGATTTCATTCAAATAAATAAAACACTACAAGTTACTTTTACTTGAACCAGCGTATTTATCTGAAGTGGGGTGGATGTTTATAGGGACAAAGTGATGGATTAGCTTCCAAGTTAAAAATGACTTCAGGTGCACAATGGCCAAAAAAGCAAAAACAAATGTGAAGAAAGCAAGAGCCTAACAGCTGAGAGGCAACATCGCGGCTGTGGCTGCTGCAGAGTTGCACTGGTGCATTTTCTTATAAATATTTCAGGAAGGAAAACTCGCCTCTTCAAACTCCTCCATCCTGCACTCACTGCTGTGGTTTGGACTGCAGTGAAAGAGAAAAGAAATGACCAAAGCTTGGTGGTTCCATTGCATTGTTGAGGCTGTTCAACCCTGTAAATTACTCTGGATGATAAACTGTAAAATGAGCTTTTGAAACACTCATCAGAGCAAGATTTTCCTCAAATATGAAAGGCTGAGGTGAGGTAAATTCATTCAGCTGCCAACTGTCTTAAGAACATATTCATAAGAATACCTATAAAACACTTAATGATGGCTCCCTGAGAGGTTGATAAGAGGTTACTGGCACTTTAAATAAACCTTTGACTCAAACACCATAAGGCTAGGAAACTGTCAAGATGAGCATATTTCTTAGTCAGTAAACTTCCACCAGGTATCTGCTGACCCACGTCGGGTTAGGGTAAGGGTAGGCGGTTTGGTTATGTTTTAACAGCTGATTGAATAACAAA